CCCTCATTAACTTTTCCACCCTATTAGAGACCTTTGTGGGAATCTTAAACACCGGTAGAAAGTAAACGGGAAGGTTAGCTTGGGTAGACCTAATCAAAGTGATTCCAATCTAGGAAGCAAGCCTTTTCTCAAATCTTTCCAATACTGGATTCCAAAAGCTGTCCTTCATGGGATTATCTCAAGGGGAGGTCCAAGTAAGTCAAAGGCCAATCCGAAATTACACACCCTAACAAACCTGCATATTCACTTACTTCCCTCTCCAAATTCACTCCCACTATGCAACTTTTATTAAAGTTCACTTCGAGATTAGACATCTGCTCAAATAGTTGTATTGCCAATTTCAAGTTCCCTATCCAATTTATGTCCCCACCTTCACAGAACAAAATTGTGTCAATTGCAAACTGTAAGTGTGTAAGTGGTACTTGCTCCCTTCCTACTCTCCATCCTTTTATTAAGTTCCTCAAGTCAGCTCTACGAATCAATCTCCTAAAACATTTGCAATCAGAGTGAATAGGAAGGGGAAAGTGGATCTCCTAATACAACCCCAAATCCATTCACCAAGAAGGAGGGCACTCTAATGCTTAAATCAATAAGTGAATAGGAGTATTCCCTGAGAATGTGAGGGAGCTTGAGAGTATCAGTGTGTGTACTTCCCCAGGTGAATTCGGGCTCATTTTTAGTCATTAGGGGATCAGGGCATTTTGATAACATTCTTGGGCTTCTGGCGGAGTTGTTTTCGTAATACAAGGCATATTAGATTGTGGCGCACGGTACGACGAGCTGCTCCAACGGTCGCGATATTGTCCCCCTTGGTGCGGGGTGGGGGAGCATTTAAACCGGGATGTCAAATGACAACCATAAATCAAGACCACATGAGCCCCACCCGATTTATGGTTTAGATATAGGGACCACAAATGGACCGTTGGATATAGGGACCACATGAGCCCAGCCCGATTTATGGTTTAGATATAGGGACTTTTTATTAGGCGTCCTTGCCCGAATTAGGAGATCCTTGGCTGGGCACCTCGCCCAAATGCCTTTTATTAGGAGAACCACATGAGCCACCATAGTAACAGATAAATCGGGATGTCAAATGACAACCTAAAGAAATATGCCATTCTTCTCCTCTCAAATAGACCACAAATAACAAAAAGCAGAAAAACAGTAAATAAAAAAAAACTCCAGTTTGACAAAAAAAATGCTGAATAAGCAATTAGTTATACACCATATATTGGTTCCTGTTCCATAAAAGCTCAAGTTTCAAGGCAACCTAAAAGCTCAAATGCCTCTAGGGGCATAATTCCTTCTATCCATCTGAACCATTGGGGTTTATTTAGGTGTGAGCAAAAAAACCGAATAACCGAACCGACCGGTATACATATATTTCTATATATTTTATATATGTATTTATGTATATTATATATTATATATTATATATATATTATATATATTTTGTATATTATAACTTAATAAATATGCATTATATATAAATATATATTTATAATATATGATATATTATTTATTATTTAAAATATAATATTTTATATATATTTATAGTTTTTTATTATATATTTTTATAATATATATTGTAAAAATAAAAAACCCGAAAAACTGGCAAACTGAACCAACAGTTAACTGAACCGGTTAACCTATTGGCTTTGGTTACCGGTTTTCCAAAAACTGGTAGTACTGGTTTAGTTACAAAAAAAGGCCCACGGTTCGGTTAACCCAACCATGAGCACCCCTAGGTTTATTTGTAATGAGCAATGTCCCACTGTCCCAGAGCGTACTTGACCAGTCCATAAAGATGCCCTCTGATGGAAGAGAACTTACCGGAAATGTGAAGCATTGCTGTATACCAGGTTGGTAGAAGTTTTAAGGATAGTTTAATGGATTAAAAGATAAAATGAACAAACAAACAAACAAAGGAGTTGTGTATAATGAAAAAGCAAAGCCCAACTCCTACAACAAGGCTTACCAACTAAGGAAATCGTATTCGTAGGTTTTCATACCATGGTGAGATGAGAGTCTCATTTCTCAAAGCAAGCAAATGGTTTATATAAAAAGAATCTGAGTTGCAAAGTAAACAGCCTAACGAAAAAGAAAAATATTAAACTTGTCCTGTATCAACAAGGATGGAACATCTTGTTGACCCCCTTTAGGATCCTTAGACTTGGGCTTGTCAGAAAAATGAGCAGCATTTAGCTAGGCATCTTGTTCCACAGCTAGTTTTTGCAGTGCTCCTCATCTGGTATCAATTGTTTTAGGTGTCTTCTTGTTGAAGCCGTAGAGCTGTCTACTGGTTCTTTATGTCTATTGTTAAAGTTGGTTATTCATTCAATTTTGCTTTGCAAGTCCTACTTTTACATGAGAATGTTTCATCATCATCATCATCCAAGCCTTATCCCAACTATATAGGGTTGGCTACATGAATCCTGTCTTGCCATTCCATTCTGTTTAATGCCATATCCATTGTTAAATTATGGGCACTTAAATTATGTCCTTTTTGGTCTACCCCTTCAACTTGCAACAAATTGCTTCTTGCAGGTGCTGTTTGTGGTCTTCTATGCATGTGACCAATCCAACTTAGTCTACTTCCTCTCATTTCATCACCTATTAGAGCTACTCCTAGGTTCTTTCAAATGACTTCACCTCTGACCCTATCTTTTCTAGTTTTCCATTCATCCATCTCAGTATATGCATTTCTGCCACATTTGTTTTTTGGACGTGTTTCTTGACTGCCCAACATTCTGCTCCATACAGCATAGCTGCAACATAGCTAATTACAACTGTTATATAAAATTTTCCTTTCACTCTAAGTGATATTTATCTATCACACAAGACACCGGATGCACCCCTCCTATTTGCCTATCCCACTAATTCTATGGGTCACATCCTCTTCAATCTCTCCATTATGAATTATTCAACCAAGGTATTGGAGGAGGTCACATTGCATTATCTTTTGATCTCAAATCTTAAGTGTATCCTCATTTGCACTCTTATTATTATTAAATTTACGTATCATATATTCTGTTTTGGTCAAAGTTCTGGAAAATGGAGATGCCAAGTATCCCATGACTTGAGAAGGTAAGGAGGTTAATCTAGGAAACCTGAAAAACGTACTTGGAGTAGTTGCAATGTTCCACAGTGCAGCCTAACTTCCATACTAATATTTGCTAAATGTAGCATTTGGGGAATAATCATCTGATAATATAATTTCAGATGCTCCTACAGTCCTACTTTAACTTGTTACTATACAGCTGCTTTGCTGTACACAATGACCAAATTTGTCTCTCCAGATTTATTTTTGTAGGTTTTCTGGATGGCTCCAACCTTGGAAAGCCAAATGCCACAGCGTGAAAAGCTCCACCCCCCAGACAATTTATTGCTTTGTTTGTTAGCTTTGTTATGTGGTTCTCTGATTACCATGCTTTTCGTAGAACATTGGCCCATTAACTTTGACTTGGCAGCTTCTCTTCTACAGCTATCAACTGGACTTGTACCGTGTTGTTATACACTAATACTTCTTTAGAAATTGTAGCATTCCAAAATTCTTTATTTCATGTAGGTCCTCTGAAATAACATAATTGACGTTCTACTAAGCGTCAATATTAGGAGAGCTGAAGTCTAGTAGAAGAGTTCAATAGGGATGTTGACAGCATGAATGGAATATCTGTTTTCGCAGTTTAAAGTTCTTATCATTTATGGGTGAATCATTTACAATTCAAATAAGCTCCAACCTAGTCAGTCGGCTTTCTGAGGATGGAGGGAAGTCAAAGAAGAAAACAAAGAAACCTAAACCAAAGACACATGCCCCTCAGCAGTCACAGAATAGGGCACATGAGAACCAAATTTCTGATGGTTTTGATAAGCACAAGGGCACTGCTACTCCAGGATGGCCACTCCAGCCCCCTATCTTCTTGCCAGTAACTCCACCACCAACTGTTGCCAATGCAGAGTTAGATGCAATTCGATCCATACTCCAAGAGAGTCAGAGTGTGTTGGAGAGGTTGCAGAAGCAGGAGGAGAACATGGTGCAGGAAGTAACACAGAGAGCCAAGGAGCTGCGTGACAAGGAATTCAAGCTTCCCTATCAGAAGCCCATGCCTTGTCTAGCAGAGAAAGATGCTTGCTTGGAGTGTTACAAGGAGAATACCAAGGATCCACTAAAATGTGCTGATGTGGTGAAAACTTTTGCTGATTGTGCTCGCAGAGTTAGGCAGCAGGTGAGCTCACCACTGGGTTGATTAGTGGACCTTAAGTTGGGTAGAAAGTATGAATATTTGCGTCCTTGAATGCAACTGAATTACCGATTTTAATGGTACTGAGACTTTTGTCATGAGAATAAGGCAATTACTTCCCAGTTTTTGGGTTTGATGATGTATTTCAAATATTATCCTTGAAACGGGCATCACGATTTTGACTTATGGGAAGTAATATGACTTTTATTTTCGTGGTTACTCGTATTTTTTTAAGCCTTGGGGCTAATTCTATTTCACCAGCCAAAGAAATTACTTCTCATTTAGAATCACTGACCTCAATAAGTCCAGCATACGTGATCAGTAATCAGTATGATGTTACGGATACTCCATGGAGGCTCCGGGTCATAAGATAGCACCTCAACAGCCGACTTAACATCACTCTCGTCTCTCGATAGAAACGAGGATTATTTGTAAACAGCAATCCTTCCAGAATAGCTAACGTTTCGGACTCCGTCAGGGACACACTTTGATCCCTAGCAGCGTGTTCACTCCAATTATTAGACAAGGCCCAAGCACCTTCCACGTTAACTTTGGTGGAGGTTTAGACCATTGGGGGGAAGGGATATATAAGTAGGGGCTGGAGTGGAATAACCACCACCCTTGTCATCTGAAAATTTTAAGGCCCAATTAGTTCACTGGAATAGGGGTCTGCAATTGGAATTGGAATGGGCCATTGGGCTATTTTGATTCTAACCGTTTGGTTGGACGGAGTCAGAATTCCATTCCCATTCCCGGTGGCATGGCCATTCACTCCCCCTTCCCTAGGAGTGAAATCCTATTCCAGATGATTTCAATTCTCATTCCCATTCTTGTCTGAATCAAACAATGGGCTCTCATTTTAACTCGTTCAAAGAAACAATGGCAAACAGATGTCAGAGCTGTAAATGAAATGGTAAATACCGTGTTAATAACAAAGAGTCACACCAATCAGAGCAGAACAATGAATTCGGCACCATTAGTACAGATCAGCCACCTCAGCAATGTTCATTTGACCTCCATTGAGCAGACAGTTTCAACTGATGTGGCAATTGTGGCTGCTGAGTATCCCAAAAGGAGATAGAAATCCTGCATTACGTTCTTTTTGACCAAACCAATTACAACATTCTCATTTTTTAGTATACTAGTGGAATGGCCCATGCAATGCACGGGGGTATTTGATATTGATGGTGATATTTGACTATGCTTTCATATATTGGGTATAGATTTGTAATTTATGTTATTTTCTTCAATTTTTATGATTTTCTATTTTTTATAAATTTTTTATGTATTTCATTTCTTTTTTTATAAATTATATTATTTTCTTCATTTTATGTGCTTTTACATAATTATTTTGCAATAACATATATAATGGGAAAAATAGAAAGTTAAGGGTAAAGTTGGAAAATAAAATTAGAGTGTTTTGACCAAACCAATTGCACCATTCTCATTTTCAGTATGATATATAAGTTTCTATGATTTTCCACATTTTTTGTAAATTTTCAATGTATTTCTTTGTTTTTTGCAATTTATATTGTTTTCTTTATTTTATGTTTTTCATAATTATTTTGTAGTGACAATATATATAATGGAAAAAATAGAAAGTTGAGGGTAAAATTGGAAAGTAAAATTAGGGTATTTTGACCAAACCAATTGCAACATTCTCATTTTTAGTATATAAGATATACATGGTATAGAAATTTTTATGATTTTCTATTGCTTTTTTGCAAATGCTTATGTATTTCTTTGTTTTTGTTTTGTAATTTATATTGTTTTCTTTATTTTGAGGGGAAAGATGCATAGGATAAAGAGACACTATTTCTATTTCCACCTTCCCATTGTGAAGTAGGAGGAATGGATAAGATATATACTATATAGAGAGGGGTTTAAAGGAGAGAACTGGGGTTTTAAAATTTATTTCTTTGCTTCATGTGTGAATGATAATATTTGGTATTTTGCCTCATGCCGTTCTACTCGTCAATGGTGGGGTTGTTATTTGCACATCTAACGGCTAGCGTTTGGATATAGGTTGACCTTGATTCGTTTATATTCGGATTCAAATTGTACATTCGTCTGATTTTTGTAGAAGAGTCTGGATCTCCTGCCAACAAAACGCATTCCAAACCCCTATGACTCTACCAAGTACCAAACCTTACGGTATTGCGTTGGTAGGGTGTTAGATTATTGGATTGGTCTGATGATCGTTGAGAAAAAAACACCCTAAAACAATTCAATATAATGAACCTGAAAGCATTTCCCGATCCAATACAACTTATTATGTTAACAGAGACAATCAAAATAGAGGGGAAATGGGAAAAAAATACCTGAAAAAAAGGGAGAAACCAAAAAAGTTTCATTTAATCATCTAATTGATTGTTCGATGATGAAAACAGAGTGGTCGAAAAAATTCATTCCTCCCTTCAATTTGAATTTGTGGGTTTTGAGCAAACCATCCGATACTTGACACATGTTGGTTCTAATCAATGAAGAAGTTTGTTAGGTAGGCCTGCAATGATACCCAAAAATCCGAGGCCTAATTCGACATCCAATCTAATTATCTTGGATTTAGATTATGTATTTATATAATCGGATTAGATTCGGATGCTACAATCTACATCCAATTAATAATCAAATCGGATTTGGATTTGACCCAATATGATTTGATTAAAATTTGAATATGATTATATTATAATATTTATTAATTTTAATATATAAATTCTATATAATTATATTAAAATTTAAAAACATATATTTTAAATATTATATTATATATGAATTTATATATAATAAATTTAGTATGTTATATTTATATTAATTTATTATATATAAAAGTTGAAAAATAAATAATTTTTTAATTTTACTGGTATTTTAGAGAATTTAAAGTGGAGTCAGATTAAATTCGAATCCGATGAGTTTGTTAGGATTCAAATATAAATCCGAGTCTCTAAATCCAATCGAATTTTGGATCAAATTTGAATGTAGGTTCTTAATATTCGGATCGGATACAGATTTTGCTACATAAAATCAGAATTTGATCGATTGTAGCCGTATTGGGGAGAAGATTAAATAAGGCCTAAGGGGAGAGAGAGGAGTAGGTTCCATAGCAGTTTTATTATTATTTTATTTGTTATAAGCACGAACTGTTAACTAACTAAAATTGGAAAAATAAAAAACTATTATTATTTTATTTGTTTTATCCAATTACAAGTGTTAACTGTTAATTAAATAAAATTAGAAAACTAAAAAGGGTAAAAATGGAAAGTGAAAATCAGGCTTCGTCACGAAACATTGTCACCATCCTCATTTTTATAAATGGTACAAACAACATTCTCATTTTTTAGTATGGTATAGAAATTTTTATAATTTTCTATATTTTTGTAATTTTTTTGCGTATTTCTTTGTTTTTTCTATAATTTATACTGCTTTCTTCATTTTGAAGAAAAAGGTGCATAGGATAAGAGAGATGCCATTTCTGCTTCCTCCTTCTATTGTAAAGTAGGGGGAGTGGATAAGATATACACTACGTAGAGAAGGGTTTAAAGGAGAATTGGGGTTTTAGGATTTATGTCTTTGCTTCATGTGTGAATGATGACATTTGGCCTTTTGCCTCCTACCCATTCTGCTCACAAATGTTGGGGCTATTATTTACACATCTAATGCTTAGCATTAGGATATAGGTTAATCTTGATTCATTTATATTCAGATTCGAATCGAACATCCATTCGATTTATATAGAAAATCTGGATCTCCTACCAACAAAATGCATTCCAAACCCCTATGGCCCTACGAAGTACAATCCCTACGATATTACATAGGTAGGGTGTTAAATTACCGGATTGGTCTGATGATCATCGAGAAAAAACACCTAAAATGAATCAATATAGTATATGTTTGGCATTGATGCTATAGTTGTAGCATTGATGTGTGGCTTGGAGCACTGTTTTCTCAGAAAATGGTGTTTTTTTTTGTTTGAAATCGTTGCTACCAGGTAGGACGTTTCCTGGAGCAACAAGAACTTTTTTTATTTGGTACCAATGCTCCAGGAAACGTTTTCTACACTTCTACCCATTATCCACTGCCACATCACTGCCTTGTTGGCAGCAACGAGCTGCAACTCCAGAAAATGCCAAATTTAGCATTGCTCCAAGCCATGCCTTCTTGATTTCCAAGGCGTGGCTTGGAGCACTATTTTCTATGAAAAAATAGTTCCAAACAAATGGCTGTTTCTTGGAGCACCGTTTTTTCCTACATGGCACTGATGTGATGCCATTTTCTAGAGCAACAACAACGGTTCCAAGCAGACGCATAACGAACCTAAGAGCATTTTCTGATCCAATGCACTTATTTCATTAAGAGAGACAATTGAAAAAAATAGGGAGAAAAAAAAAACTTCATTTAATCATCTGTTTGTTCCTTGATGAAAAGAGAAAGGTTGAAGAAATCTATTATTCCCTTCAATTCAAATTCGTGGTTTGGGCAAACCATCTGATACTTGACACGTGTTGGCTCTAATCAATGAAGAGGTTCATTAATTAAGTATGTGCTTCGGGAGAAGATCAGATAAGGTGAGGAATAGGTTCCACAATAGTCTTATTGTTATTTTATTTGTTTTATCCAATTACAAGTGTTAACCGTTAATTAAATACAATTTTAAAATAAAAAACATAACAAAGAGTAAAAATGGAAAGTGAAGATCAAGCTTTAAAATAAAAAAAAAAACATAAGAAAGGGTAAAAATGGAACATGAAAATTAGACTTTTTGGTGAAACATTGTCACCATCCTCATTTTTATAAATGAAAATGATGTGATATAGAGATTATCCAATTACAAGTGTTAACTGTTAATTAAATAAAATTGGAAMAATAAAAAACATAATAAAGGGTAAAAATAGAAAGTGAAAATCAATATTTAAAATATAAAGCATGACAATGGGTAAAAATGAAAAGTAAAAAACCAGGCTTGTTGGCAGCAACAAGCTGCAGCTCCAGGAAATGCCAAATTTGGTATTGCTCCAAGCCATGCCTTCTTGATTTCCAAGGCATGGCTTAGAGCACTATTTTCTATGAAAAAACAGTTCCAAACAAATGGCTGTTTCTTGGAGCACCATTTTTTCCTACATGGCACTTATGTGATGCCATTTCTTGGAGCAACAACAACGGTTCCAAGCAGACGCATAATGAACCTAAGAGCATTTTCTGATCCAATGTAACTTATTTCGTTA